GTTTGATGCATCTCCATTCCCAGCTTCCAGCCCATCCAACATGCCTCTTGAGCCGGTTTTTGACTAGAGGCCCAAGAATATTTGTTCGTTTCCGGCCAGTAAACTCAGCATCACTGAAAACAACTTTGCGTTCAACTCGTTCGTGTTTAAGGTTTGTTGTCAAGGACCAAGCTGCATCCTTTCAACAACCACAATGTTGTCAGTTGAGCATGCAGCCGGTTGGAAAAAGCCTGCCTGCCCTAAGGATATGGCGAGTCGCGAGCGGAAGCCCAAAGGCTTTAGACTTTCTCCTTGAACTCAGGGCTTGACTTTTTGGGCGAAAAGGCAGTGCCCAGTGCCCCCTTTTCTGCCAGGAGTTCTACACTGATTCTTTTCCCAAGACTTCAAGAGGGCGTCCCTTCAAAGAGGATTCCTGCCCTTCAGATCCCTTCATGTTGCGCAAAAGGGGGGCAGTTTAAAGGCACACGTTTTGGTTTGCCTATAGGACGAGTTTGGCATGACCATCAAGATCGAGAAGCTCATCGAGGAGTGAGCGTGCAAGCGCATTTCAGGCTGATTTTTGTGCGTTGGTTACGCGTTTGGATCGTTTGACTTGTTTGCAAGACCTTTTTGTGGTAAGTCGCAACCAACCAACAGATTCATTTTCAGCTGACCAAAAAGAGGGGATCAATTTATATGAGTCACTCAGATGTATGGAGAGAGGTATACTGCCTCAGGGAAGGCGGTTCCTGATGTGAAATTGGGTGCTGAATGGCCCATTGGTCTGGGCAAGTTCTGGCCTGGTACAATGTTCGGCGTGGGACATCTTGTGACTGAATGGCGTCCTTTCTCTTGCAAATGTTTTCCGAGGGACTCTCTGCACTCCCTCCGACTAACAACCGGAAGCCTGTAAATGGAACCAAGTCCATTTCGGGGTCCGTCGGCAGCTTCCATGGAAGAACATGGCTGGGATCAACTCGCGTTTCTCACAGCACCGGAAGCATAGGCATCCTGTTTTGTCGTTTTTGTGTTGAACTTAGATTGATTGCACTGGGCTTGTGCCCAAATGGTGGACCCTTTAAAGGCTTGCTTTCCTTTTTGGCTTTACTTTCAAACAACCTTAAAAGGGTTACCACCCTAAACACAGACCCCGGCCAATCAATCTGCAATTTTACCAAAGGGGCACCAGACCCAGGAGTGGGACAAGGACAAGGATAAGCGCCTGGACTACCGGGAGTTTGCGGCGATCTTCCAGCGCAGCCGGCGCGTCGTTACTTCTTTTGGAAACTTGAACGCCAAACTGGCTAGCGCTCGTGCTTTTGACAGTGGCCAGGGACTGTACTCCGTTTGGGTAGACAATTGGTCGGTGTCCTCTTTCCCGAAACCGGTTGAGTTTCTCAACTTCCAAAAGGCACTGTACTCTGTTTGACTAGGCCATTGGTGGGTTTCCTCTTTCTCGCAAGCGCCTGAGTAATCCTCAACTTCCCAAGTTCTGCCAGCATGGAATCGAATCGGATCGAAGCGGAGCAACCCAGATTGCAGATGTGTCTCCAGTCAGGCTTCCCCCGCCTCGATGTCGGGATTTCGGGAAGCTGTTGGGGTTGGCGAAAGGAAACAAAAATTCATGCGAGAGACCTACCATTTTCGAGGCATACTGGCCGGAGAGAAACCCATTAATTTTCCGAGCGATTTTTTCAACCCTTGGAGTTTCCCATCGGTGGGACTTGGCTTGCTGGGACTCGATCCCGCACACCATCGCCCCACTCAAACGAAAATCCGCCCCACTCGCCATTGGAAATCCACGAACAAATGCATCCCAACTGTTTCCTAGACCATCATGCCCAAATCAGTTTGACCCCCCCGAAGAAAACGCCAAACAAGAACGGCCGCCAGGTGAGAGCCCGGCTGGAGAGGCGTTGGCTCGGTGAGACTGGTGACTGGTACAAGCTTCCCATACATCCCCTTTCTTGGGGTTTGCACGGGGGATGAAAAGCTGATTGCCTTGAAAAACTCATTGCTGGGTGAGTCTCAGCCATCCGGTTCCTCAGGTTTTTAGTTGTTTTGAGTTGGTTTCGGGGCGGTTTCCAAATCTAACCCTCAAGTTGAACTTTCCGAAGGGGGTCTGAGGACAGCCCAGATCAGGTGGAATCCAAAGCGGCGGGTGTACCCCCAAGGGACCAAAAGACAAAAGAGTGCCCTTTGCATAGGGGAAACAAGCTGACAAGCTGACATGGAGAGGCAAGCTGTTCTTAGTTGGCATGGAGGATCGGAGCCAGTAATCACAAAGGCAATGATCATATGACAAAATCCGGACAGCGGCAACTCCCCATCCCAGCTCTTGCCCTGTCCCTTAGTTTAAGGACGCAACGTCCTGCAAACGGCGGCTTGCTTGAAGGTTGATTTAACTACAACATGAAAAGCGTTCAACTCCATGATCCCGCAACATTTTGCCTGTTGAGTGGGAGGAATCGTGCTTGGCAAGTGTCATCATCATCATCATCATCGTCGTCATCATCATGCTCATCTATCTCATCTATCTCATCATCATCATCATCATCATCATCATCATCATCATCATCATCATCATCACCATCATCACCATCATCATCATCATCATCATCATCATCATCATCATCATCATCATCATCATCATCATCATCATCATCATTTCAAAGGCCAAGAGCTTTGCTATGTTTGGCCAGTCGAATAAGCAAGTTAGTTGATTCAAAAAAGGTTCAAGCTCTTGAAACGGTAGGTCTCTTTACACGCAAAGGGGGCTCGCCATTATTTTGTGCATCTGTTGTGATGTTGTTTGTTTGGTTTGTTTGTTTGCTTGCCCGCCTGGCTGCCTGGCTGCCTGGCTGCCTGCCTGCCTGCCTGCCTGCCTGCCTGCCTGCCTGCCTGCCTGCCTGCCTGCCTGCCTGCCTGCCTGCCTGCCTGCCTGCCTGCTTGCCTGCCTGCCTGCCTGCCTGCCTGCCTGCCTGCCTGCCTGCCTGCCGTGTGTTTATGTTCACGTGCATGTGTGTACTTTTGTGTGTATCATACAATCTCCATTTGTTTGTGTCTTGGCATTTCGGAGTATCGGCGTTTCGGTGCTTGTGTGAGCGTGTGAGTGGTTGTAGGTGTCCTTCTTGACTACCTCAGACTACCTCAATGAAAGCACAAATGTACAGGGCTCTCCCTGATCATTCTGCAAGTGTAGGTGTCCATTGGAGAACTCTTTGAGAAGGATTCAGAACTTCCGGAGCCGCTAGCTTAGATCTCGCGCTCGCCAGGTTCCACTTGTGAGCTGTCAGCGCGAATTCGATCGTTTCACAGAACTCGCTCCATGGAACTCGGAATGGAGCGATAGGTTTCACCCGGTCAGCTCTCGCCTTTCAGCCCCGCGGCGCAAGGTTTTCCAGCACTTGCTGTTGTTTGTGTGTTAGGTTGATTTGGGTGCGGCTCAAAATTAAACAGGAGAGGTTACGCAGGTTTTGGTCCATGTTTCCACCTACCAGGGTTCCATTTTGGTACCGGTTTTTTGAGCCACAGCCATTTGGTTGAGAATAGATGGCACTGGTTGCAGCTCGGTGCTCACCATTTTCAGCGGGCCCCATCCATTTTTGTCCAAAAGGGTACGGAGTTAGCTCTCTGAGGGCTGCTTCCAAACCCATGTTGTGAGGATAGCAAACGCATGCACACATCCGAGGAAGCCAGTCACTCGGACACAGCGGGAGCTTATGAAAGTTCCGGCACACAGCAAGGCTTGAGCCAAAAAGTATGCAGATTGGCCCAATTGTGCACTGGCTCTCAATCATTTGTTTTATGGGTCACCTACTCGAAGTAGCCAACCCCAAAACAAATTCCTTGTTTCTGCCGAATCACTGGGCAGCTGCAAATGGGTGAAGTGTAATTATTTGTTGTTGGGTGATTTGGGAGGAAAGCACATTTGTGGCTTGGGGAGTGATTACGGTGCCACCCCTCTCCCCCAACGCGGGCGTCAAAATAGGGCGTCTGACATTTCGCTGGTTTTCCTCTTTCCTTCCATTGAAAACCAAACACCAAGAATGAGATACCCTGAAAAAGCACATCCCCATTTTCTTTGATACCTCGGTGCAAAGTCTTCAAGCACCTGGAACTCGAGCTGTCCGGGCGATGCCGGCCTGCGATCCGGCAAGCTGAACTGGCGAGAAGTCGACTTGCGTGTAGAAAATCGGCCCCTTCCTTGCCGCGCGCGCGGTGTGTAAGCCACATGCGCGGCGGGTCCGAACAAAGTTGTGGATGGAGTGAGAGGCGGTTCCAACTTGTCGGTTCCTGTTTCTTTGTAGAGCAAACTAGTGGTAAACAGACAAATTGGGCCCTTTGTTGGTAGCTGATCCGCGAAGCAATCCCTTCAATTCAAAGTTGGTATGAGTCTAATATTGACCCCAGCAAACCTGGCGGATGAAGAGCGGAGAGGGGGGGTGGGTGGGATCCATATCCCCTTTCAAATGCGACACACGCAATCAACGTCAACCAAGAGTTTCTTAGTCAGTGGGTTCCACTTACCTTTGCAACACGCCGATCCCCCTTGGACACAGGTTGCGACTCAGAACTTGTGACGACTGTCGCTCCGAGAGACAACTCGGGTAAGCTGGCAGCCCTGCCTATCACTTTCGGCTTCTTTGCTTGTGGCCATGGAGCTTTAGTACTCTGCTTCGAGCATGTTCTGCAGCATTTGCACTTCCCCACACCCAGGACCCCACTTTAGGATTTCACAAGGGCAACTCACAACAATAAGTTGCAGATTATATTGATTTGGGGAGGACATAGGGGGGCCCACCAAAATGTCGGCCACATACCAAGAGTGGGCCGGGCCCTCATGTTCCCATGCCCATTTTGGGAACAAGTCGTCGAACATTGTTGCTTGGAAGTCATGGTTGTGGAAATTGGGTGTTAGGGCCACTTTCAGTCATAAGAATGGAATCCACTTAAAATCATAGGAATGAGCCACAATGGTATCACAAGGCTGATTTTCCACTGTATGCTGTTGGCTGCAGGTGCACAAGGCTCACAACAAGTTCCTGAAGACCATGGACTACTACCTCACTCGGGACCCGTGCATGGGATACCTCGGCTCGTCATGTGAAGCAGAGCGGTAGAGCAGTGTTGCTCTTCTTTCTCCTGACTTTGGCTTTGAACCGGCGACTTCCAGGACCTAGGAAATGGCGCAGAGCAATGTCATATGAGAACCTGCTTTGAGAAGTGACACCACGTACCACATACCCTTTGACCATTCCGAAGCAGACTATCAACAAAGCCGAAGGACTCTCTTCAGGATTCCGTGTGCGATGTTGTCGCCAATGGTTGTTTCGTTTGAGATCCCCAAATCGGTGTGCTGTACCCCTGAGGCTGTACTGGGGTTGTCGTCCAAATTCCAATTCGAAAGCACCACTCCATGGTCGAGGCTCCCACGGGAGCTCCGCGAAGCGGTCCCCCAAAACAGTTGGTTTCCTTCCGCTTTCCTTCTAACTACCGAGGGTCGAGCATTTTTGCCCGACAGCCGAGCAAAAATGCTCTATGTTGGGGCTATTTAGTGGAGCACATGTTCTGAAGAGGACATGACAGGCCTTGCCCTTAGAGCTTCGGTGTAGAAGAGGCAAGCCACATGCCGCTCCCAATCTCTGGATAGTTGAGTTGCGGCACTCGAATGGCTTCACGGAAATGTTCTCCTCTTTCGACATCTAGACCTCCAGAGGTGCCCTTTCTCCCTTTTTCGGGGGGCTTTACCTTTTAATTCGAGCACAAAGCTCCCTTTTTTGGGGGCTTTACCTTTGTCTTTACCTTTCAATTCAAGCACCTGCAGAAAGAGGTGTGCTTTTTTTCAGACCCCAGCCTCTGGGGTCACACCGAAACGCCCTGCAACCGCTGCCAGCCGGATCTGGCAAGCTCAAGCCGCGGCGGCCGCGCGTGGGTTTCCTTGGACGGCCACGGGTTGAATAGAGGCCAGGAACGTGCCCGCGTCATTTTTCTTCCGCGGGGCGGCGCGGAGACTTTTTGCGTTGTAGTATGCAGTCTCAGTCTCTGGGTTCGTGGATTTTTTGCCTTTTTGAGAAGACCAATTTTAGCGGCAAATAAGTTACAGTTTGAACCTTTTGCTAGCCAATCCACTCAGGAAGCGAGGATCTAGGGGATGGCATGTGGCAGAATCACCCAAATGAGGCAAAATCTCACTGACCAAAGTCCAGCGCCCTTGGGAGAAATTATTGACAAGCCCTTTGAAAAGTTGGGTTTTGTTTGCTTCACTTTTTGGATCTGCCAATGCTCATTGCGTTTCTGTTTGGTGGGGTGATGTGGGGTGCTGTTCAAAAGCCCATGTAAGGAGCCCTTGTGAACTTTAGTTTTCTGGAGACGTGCTTAGGATTGCCCTGAAGGCGCCAAGGAGTTTCAATGCTGGGGCGTTTTCAACACTCACTACTCACTCTGAGCTTTTTGCATATCGGTGGTGTTTTGCACAACGTGTGTACTTGTGGTCAATCCACTCAGGCAACAGCATGACGATTGTATGAACCTATACTTCCCCTCCATGCTTTCTAAGGGTCCGTGCTGTTGTTTCCTGAACATGTCCAAAGCCGGGAGGATGGCCAGTGGTGGTCCCTGAAAGGACGAGTGAACAGAGGTGTCAGTCTCATTTTTTTTTGAATGAAGACTATGCTCAAGTGCTTTACACCTAGCCTTGGTTGGGCCATTGCCTGAGGGATCCTCAGGCCCCCTTGCAAGCGAGTTTTGAAAGTCCGATTACGCATTTTTCGGGCTTGTATATGGGGGGTTCCTTAATTTCGGTCTGAGGTGGTTTTTCCTCTTTGGGAGGGAGGGTGCCCAGCATGAACCAGCTGAAGCACTAAAAGGGGCCATGTTCAGTCGGGTTTTGGGCCCTGGGATTTGAACCCCCTCCCAAGAAGAGAACGCCTGACCTACCCCGCCCCTTACTCAGTGGAACCTCGCTTCGGCCAGGGTCCATGGCGCGGCTGGGCGCACTGAGCCTCGTGATCCTCACGCTAGGCGACCGTTCGCCGGCGAACGATCCTTCGCCACATTCAGTGAAGGGGCCGCTAAGCAGAGAAGGAAGCAATACAAGGCCCTTCATTCGGCTTCACCGGTGGTCTTTGCATGTTTTATTTTTATTTTTTTGGGGGGGAGGGGGGCTATTGGTCGTGACAGAGTTGTGCAGCGTTGGTTTGCCATATGGGTGGCCCACTTGTCCACATGCTGGCCGCCTTCCAAAACAAAGCGTGGGCTGCAGAGTGGAGGGGACCAAGGCTTCCCAAGCCTGTTTGAAGCCTGTTGGGGCCTGAGGGCTCATTATGTTTGGCGCAGAAGCCGAAGCATGGAAGATAGAAGCCATATGTGTTTTGTACATTTGGCTAACTGGTCTAGGTCCTCCAATAGTGCCCTTTTACCCTTTTTTGGGAGGAGGGTTCCCCTACTAAAATAGACTACAGAAACAAAATCGGGTACCCTTATTCTAACCTCTCCACTTGAGGATCTAGTGGTTGAATACATTTTCCTGTAGCGGACCGAATCCGGCGCTAGGCACCTGGATCGGCACATCCTTCATTGGCCCGAGCGCCGAGTATCGGGCATCGGGTAGATGGGTGGTTTGTCTTTTGTTTCTTCTTTTTTTCTTCGGTTGCCTCTCAGTGTCCTGACAAAAACCTGCCGTTGAAAGGGGGGGAGGGAGCAACTGCAAAGAAGGCAGACCCAAATGGGCATGACGGTTCAAGGTTGTGGGAATGAAACCAGGGATTCCCTTAAAGGAAATCAGAGGGGAGGCTTTATTGGGGTCATGCCATGTCTCATTCCCTGCTGAGCAAGGTAAATCGCGGGAGCAGCTCAGCATTCTTTAGGTTTGAGCCACCAGGCCATGGGTTCCAGTTACTGGGAGCCTCGAAGACCTGGTGTTTCCATGAAGCGTTTTGAACCCAGGTATGAGAGAGCGATGCTTTTTGACTCTTGTGCTAGTTTACCTTTCTCCCCTACTTTCCTACTTAGCGGTACCTGGAATCAGGGGGCTGCTTGTTTTGTTTCGAGGTGTCACTTTCCTCTACCCAAAGGGAGCGGTCAACAGTTGAACAGGTATCCCCCATGACAATGCACTCATTCGGCTCAGCGGCCCAATCCGCTGCCACCGAAACGGCCTCGGTTTCGGTTGGAGTCGCTTCGCACGCAATTCCGTAAAACATGACGCTTTCGCCGGGAAACAGACATGGTATGGTGACAATGACTAAGACGTGCATGTCACGGTCTGGCGGCGCGCGCATGCGCATCTTCCGCCATGTTTGCCAAGTTGCTGGGGGGCATTGTGACGGGCCAACGCATCACGACTACCTACCTACGGAATCTCGCCAATGACACTTTGCCCGAGAATTGGCTTCCGCTTCCGTGGCATGGATCTGAAGCTCGATTGGAGGTGGCTCGAGCTGCTGTTGACTCGCCGCACCCGTGTGTACTGGCCGCTTTATGCCCCCAGCTTGCCCTGGAGGGCAGTCTGGCGGCGGGAAGGTGACGTTGGCATCGATCTCCCCTCCCTCACAGTGCTGTGCACTACTCGTACTCTGCGCCTCATTCCAACTATACGTTTGCCAGGCTGTGGGCCTCACTTTCCCAGTCTTTGAATGGCGGACTTTGCTCTGGGAAGATCGCTTTAGTGGTAGCAAAAGTTCGGACTTGTCCTGGTCAATCTGCTTGAGAGAACATTGGGTTCAGTGTTGCTCTGAACGTGAAAACAGTGACCAAAACACAAGAGTCGAAGACTTGCTGGTTCTCAATGGAGTCCTTTGAGGGAATCCCTAGATATCCCTAGGTTCATTCCCGACACCCTGGGTCATTCCCTACTGAGCACCAGCAAGAAGATTGGCACTGGTTGCTTCAGTTGGTCCTTTTCTCTATACCTACAGGGCCAACCCTGCCATCTTGGTGGTTCCCCACTTTTTCGGACCATACCTGCCACTTTTTGGTGTTGCTGGGTTTTCAAGTCAGCTCCCAGGCAAAATGTCTGGTTTCCGGTTGGTTCCCTTTGAAGCATTGTGAAACCATCCTAACAGCGACTCCACCCCAAGGCCAATTAGGGCTCACTCCGCGGGTCCCAAGGCCCGCCGGCGCCCTTTGCCCCGCGCTCTGTCGCCCGGCGGGCCGAAGAAGAGGCGGAGTCGCCTTTGCCGGGGGCGGAGGGAGGGGACGTGTGGGGCGACCAACGCACGCCCATGGGTTGGGTCCAAAATTTCGGAGGTGTCCTGTTCTGGTTTCTCTGAGAATGTTGTGTTAAAGCTTTTTGGCTGCACCTTGAACCTAGCAACCCGACGGTGTGTATTGTGAGACATGCCTATAGTATATATTTCTATATATATATATGCATAATATGTGCAGAAAGGTAGTTGTTTAGTTTATTTTCATTTTCTTTGTTTTTTTCTAACCGGAGGTGCGGGGGGGGGGGGGGGGTCCATATTTTTTTGGTATATGGCTATGCATTGTTGATTTTGGAAGTGCTTAGCAGACACACATGCTTTCCACCAAAGTGTCCCCATTAAAGTTCAGACCAATGTGCGGCTCGGTTTGCCCACAGCTTTTCCTTCAAGCTAGCTTTGTTGATGCCAGTTTCCAGTGACCGAGCCAGAATCAATGACGATTTAATCGGTAACCTGCAGATTCATAGCGAATCAATCTCTATATATATATACGTGTATACGAATAAACTAAAGTTGTTAGGGGCCCTTACAGCATGTCCTGCGCGTTTAGAGCCAACACAAAGTTGCTTGTGTGTGTGTGTGTTTTTTGCGGATACCCCTTTTCAGGTCAACCTGGGTGTCCCATCAGCGCCTGGTTTCAAACCAACCTTTTGGGCTACTGGGGGGAATGTAAGGAAATGTAGGAAAGCCTATTTTCAGGTTCCCCCTGGTTGGTGGTTCGGGGATTTGAATCCCTTGTTCTTGCAAAAGGCCCAATCCAAACTATCAGTTTTGCTTAGTATTATTCGTCGCAATGATGTCCTGAAACCCAGCCACAAGAAACCGGTTGAATGCTAGACAGCTCCTGAGCCATACAGTAGCCGCTCTTTTGGTTCTTTACCTGTATTTCTGGTCCGACTCTGCCTAGCCACGACTCTCGTGCCTAGCGCCTGCGTACTAGCCATGGTGAGCTCACCAATCTCTCCTGCAGCTTGTTTAAACATCGAGCCACTTTTGGATGACATCTAAAGAGGAAGCACGGTGACTTGTGGGGGCCTTCCATTTCCGGAACCCCCACGTGTTTTTGTCACCCCCCCCACCGTTGTTTTGCTGACCCCGCTCAACGGACTAGAACATGGTTGTGGAAAGTCGGTTTTAGGTTGCCTTTCAGAGATGTCAGGGATTCGAACCCCCTGCAGAATCCCTACACGCTGATACTTGCTTAAGTGCCTTTTTGAGGCTCGTGGCAACATGCCGCTTCGGGTTGTCCAGTACAGGCATTCTTTGGTATCCTTCCATTTGCTGAAATGAATACTTTATACTTTCCCCTGTTGGTTTTGAAGGGAATCTATCACTACTGGACATATTTTTATGTTTTCCAGGGGACTTAAGCAAATGGAGGTATCACAAGGATCTGACACCTCTCTGGTATCACAAGGATCTGCCACCCATCTCACCCATCAAGTCTCATCCCTGGGACTGTTGTTGTGATGCGGGGCGCAGACCCCTGTAGACTGCATGTCTCACATTTGGCCACCCATTTAGAACTAAAGCTCCATTTCTTTTTGGGCGCTCACCACTCATCCTTGGTGCTTGGCCCTATCCCTGTGGACGGCAGGCGGCTGCTGGAGTGGTACTCGAGGAGACTTGGTTGTCACTCGTGCAAACGTCGAAAACCATTCCCTTGATGGTGTCATGACCAAACCAAGATGGGGTGAATCCCTTTATGTGGTAGGGTCATGACCAAACCGAAGCGGGGGAAGTATGCAATCTACTTTTACCTGAGAGATCGGCTCCTGCGGAAAGTTTTCACATCAGATGATCAGCTTCCTGAACCCTTGGGTTGCCGGGGCCTTTGTTTCTCCTAAAGAGTCCAGGGTGGTGTCAGTTGAGCCAATTCCGGGCATTGCGATTTCTTCCCCCCCAAGGGTTCGTTCTTGCAAGGAACAGCAGTTGAAAGGCATCCTAGAGCTGCCAAGGGCCGATGGCTATTGGAAGGGTTGCCTTGCTTCTGACGGAGTGGTTGCTTCCATTGGCTTAAGACTATTGTTTTATGTTCCCCGGTGAACTTTTAAGGGAAGCTATGACTACTGGACATACGCCCATAGGCGCTGAGCCAGAAGGCGAGCCCGGTTTGTCTCCAGAGGACTAGGATCATTGGCTGATATGGCCGTGGGTCAACACCAATGGGATCCCATTTTGGGGTAGGTGCACCACCCATTCTAGTCTATTTCAGTGGGGATTGGGATGTTCACTGGGGGTACGGGGTTTTGACCCATAGCCGTATAAATTGGTCAGGGGACCTGTTCCAGCCAAGTTCAATAGAGCATATTCCAGCCGAAGGACAAAGATGTAGCATCGAGTTCACAAATTAAACCACCAGGATATGGACCGCACTTTTGCTCCTTGGTCCTATTTACCAGGGCAACCCATTTTGGGGCCACCCACCATTTTTGACCACCGCAACCATTTGTTGAACCCATTTAGGGCTACCCGAATTGGGGGGTTGGGGGGTGGCGTGTTGCGCCATCCCGATGGCTCAAGAAGAAAACGGCACTCCCATGGTCTCCCAATCGGCTCTGACGCTATGCAAGGTTGGGTTTCACCTACCTCTTTTCCCAGAAAGGGCAAATGCCCCCCCCTTCAGGCTTGCTGTTAATTTCATATCCTTTCACCGAGGTGAGGAATGCCATTATAGGTGCGGGTTTCCTAGACGGTTGGTTCCACGCTTGTAAAGACATGACCAAATCGGCGCGGCTATCTAGCCGAAAAGTCTCTCTAGGAACACAGTAGCTCCTGAAACAGCCTAATGGTTTTTTGGGGTGTTGCTCAAATGGTTTGCTCGGTTTTTTGGCTTTCCCTTTAACACCAGCTCGGCACGAGCGCTGGTTTTTTGGGCCACTTCATCCATTCCAGAATGCTGGGGATTCACTGGGGATGATGCTTTCCCTTCCCATTTAAACCACTCCGGAAAAGGTGCTTCTATCAAGAAAAGGATTCTCTATTGCGTATCTCTCACCCCGAATTGATCGGACAACTTGGGCCCTCTATACAAAGTGAGGCTACCCCACCCCCCCGCCCTCGATATATTCCGGAATGGTGGAGACGTCGTTTCCTTTTCGTTTGAAACTCATTCTTGAGACACACCCCAATGGCTACAAATGCTAGAGTGATTGGCACTTACCGCCTCCGATCTGGCGCTGGCGCGAGGAACCGCCCAGCGATGATGAGATCGCCAAGGAGTCTAGCGGGGGACTTCAGTCCACTCGCAGAGGTGGGGGCTGATGTTTGTTCTCAGGTGGTTTGAAACGGGGATACCCAGTTTTGAATACGTGGGTATGTGTAGACATAATATTCCGCCTTTTTCCTGCGTTGGTACCTGTACGGATTTTAGGTCAAAGTGAGGATGTCCTCGTGGCCTACAAAAAAAATGTCACAAAAAGGGGGGCAAAAGGACCGTCTTCCCGGCGTGAGAGCCATGCCCAAAGCCTGCGGCAAAGTTAGCTGGGGGCGGCTGGCGTTTCTAGCTGACATGGCATGGCATTGTTGTACTACCATCTTGGTACTAAAGTCCATGGGTTTCGGGCGCTCATATTGAAACACTACTTATTTTTAGCGTATATGTTTTAGCGTTTTTTTTTTTTTTTGATTAAACAAGTTGTTAATGTATTGCCCTTACCGCCGTAATTTTATTGAATCACATAGGCTCAGCTGAGCGATCCAAGCCTGGAGAATTCGATTCTTGTGGGTTTTGCGTGGACCCAACAAGAGCGGCCCGAATAAGAGAGACCCCGATGGTGTGGTTTCGGCTTTGCGCTTGTTTCAAACTAAAACAACCTCCTGAAAGGACCACGCTGGCAATGCAGATGTGCATTCTCTGGCTGACATTCTTGTGATGGGCATTGAGTGTGATGACATTTCCCTGATCTCCACAGCCCCTCAAAGGTGTCCTGGACAGGCAGCTGACTTTGCGGCCGCGCTGATGTACGTTGTGCTGGAACGCGTGGCAAATTTAGCCACTGTACGGAAGCCACACTGAGCGTGGGGACTTTTGATGAAGTGGCGCAATTTTGACGACTCAGAGGCAGTGAACGTGCGGCGTGCTTGGTCGTTTGTGGAAGATGTCAAACACGGGAACCTGAAAGCTTGGCGTGGCTTTTGACCCGGCACGTGACATTCGACACTGAGCCAGAGCCTTAACAATACTTTGTGTTTGCGTTGCTATTCAATTGGCTTTAAAAGCCTTCGATTTGTTGGGCATATGTTTGTTTCTTGCGTAAATACTCCGCATTCCATTGAAGGAGAAACCTTCCAATGGGTGAAGTTGGGTCTTGATTTTGCGGTGCGTGTAACAAAGAAGATCCTTCCAACGTTTCCTTCAGCACCATCCAACATGACGTCGCTGTTGCGTGATGTTAGGCCCCCTTGTCCTGAAAGGCCTGGGATTCGGGATGGCCTGGGGACCCTCATGAAGCCTCTTAAGAGGTCCGGCTCGGAGCTATGCCAGGGATGTTTGAGGATTCCCCTGAATTTCCTTCAAGCGCCCCATGTGAGGTTCGTTCAGAAATGCAGGACAGTGGCCAAATTTGGCGTCAGGGATGGGGACTCGCCAAACTTCCGGCGGGATTTTTGCACCCTATTGTTTTTTTGGTGGGAAATATCCTTGTTTTTTTCTCGGATGGGCTTCCCTTCCAAACGGTGCCCAAAGGGATTCCACCAAGTGCCTGCCTACGCAGGTTCAAGCCCATGTATGTATGTCTTCAAGCATTGCGAGCCCTTTGCAATGCAAGGGGCTTTCCGTTTCATTTCCCCAGCCCAAGTTGTCTTTACCTCTTCCCAAAGGCTGGCTCCCAAGGAAGGGCCGGGGGGGGGGGGTGGGTTTGTTGTGATGAGCTAAGTTTGGTTAAATCTCCCGGGGTGGCTCCAGATTTGTGAAATGACCAGCGACGAGGCTTAGACCCTCGACCCAAGCGCCGCTTCCGGCCCAAGCGCGAGCTCGGGGCCCAAGCGAAGCGCGCGAAGCGCGAAGCGAAGCGCGAAGCGAAGCGCGAAGTGCGTCGGCTTGCAGGGAGCTGGGTGAAACGAGGGAACGACGATCAGATGGGTCCCTCTACTTGGGAATCCCAATTCTCACTTGGCCATGAATCTGAATAGGGAACCACCTGAAAAGTGATTGGTGGACATAAATCCCCACCTAAATGATGTCCACCAAAGGGTCCCTTATGAACATTCAAAGCAAATGCAGATTGATCATTGAATAAATGTTAACGTCGGATGAATAACACCTTTCCCCTCTCCCCCCTCAAAGATCGCACCTCAGATTCAACGGGTTCCGGCGGAAATTAGATGAAGTCCGAATCGCGCCGGAATTGACATCAACATATTTTCCGTGCGGCAAAATGGTTCTGGCGAACGCGGGGTACTACTTCGGGGTGGTCGTGGAGGCCCGCGTCAGAGTTTAGACATTGTTTGTCTTGGATCCCAATAGCCATGGATTTCGGTGGTATTTGTTTATTACTCCAATGTTAGTTAACATTGCCCTTTTCTTGATCTCTACACTGTTCTTCTTGGGGGCTGTATTGTCCCTGACCTCCAGTGCGGCCTCTGTTGCTGCAACTTCCAAGACAAGGGCTTCCTTTTGCGTGTCAGGGTGTTCTCATGAGGTTCGCAGTGTTTGGGACAGCATCCGCTGTGTGGTGGCACCCTGTAAGTTCCTTTTGGTTTGATGGCGAAAAGGCCTCCACCAAAAACTGGAATTGACTCCGAAAAGGGTTTCTGTTTTCTTCCAGGGCCTCTGGGCAACTCGTGCGACTTTTGGCTAAAATGATGTTGGCGAAATAGTTGTAACATGTTTCAATCCTCGTTTGGTGGTTGAATATTGACTGGAAAGGGTGCATCATTTGAGACTCTGTGACCCACCCTTTCCTTTCGAATCCTCATTTTGAGATTTTGGATTAAACAAATCAGAAAAAATAGCAAAACCCAAACAAAAACACATGGAGGGCTCGCGAAACTTCCCACAAATGGGGAGTCACACAATGCACATGTCCTTTGTGGAAAGCGCAGATCTTGTCGAGTGATTTTTCCAGTCTCCCTGCTTTTCAGGGTATTCTTTTCTGGCACCCATCAGTACTCTTGTGACTTGTATTGAGGATCCTTTGAGCGGAAGCGCGCAAAAGCGCGCGCTCCCAGGGGATCCAGAGGTTCATTCCCAAAATGGTTGATGGAAGTTCCACAAAAGAGACACCCAATGCAGGTGATGGGTGTATTTTTGCAGGAGAAGCTTTTTGCACGCCTCTAGGAGGTGCCCAAAAGCCAGTCCCCCCAAGCCCGAAAACTGGTGGGTTTTCCCGTGGTTTCCCTTGTAAAGATTTAGAAGGATGTGTTCCAATCTCAGGAGAAAGCGGACACCGGGTCGATTTTTTCTGTTGGTTGGGTACCGCTTTCTCAGGTTCGGGGGGATCCACATTGTGGGTTCCAGTCAATGGCATTTCAGCGACGCCCCAAACCCATTGACTTTGGGTTCTACCAACATGAGTATAATGGTCCTACAGGCACTGCAACTGCAACCATCCTACAGCCAGCTCGTAGAACCGTCAAACATTGGCCGATGGCATTTTCGGCGCTGCTCAATTCTATTCCTTGGGCCGGTGCGCCGAGGAAGCGTGGAACCTTGTGCCGTGAGCTCAGACGCAGGTTGACTGGTCATCCAAGTCATCTTCTGATATTATTCTAGATGTTGAGGTTCGCTAAAGATACATACTCGTAGTACTTGTTGCTCAGCTCATCTTATCATGCTTGAGTTTCAACCAACTTTCAATCATGCAAGCCACAGTCTCAGCATTGTTAGTTAGCTGCCAAAAGCTGAGGTAACTCCCGCAAGGCACCCATGGCCCTGATTGTTGCGCATTGCGCGTTTTTTAGGATACCCGTTTTTGGGGGATGGGGATGGTAACATGTTTTTTGCCGACTTTCTCCCCGTTGGTTGTTGCGCTCATGTTTTACTTTGTCCCTCAGTCAAGCTGATTGGGATGGTCGTCAACCACTAAGATGGGAGTTGGCTCATGAGCATCCACTATTCAACCCCAGCTCACACCCTCTACACCCTTCCCGCCATTGGTTACTCACCGCTTTGCCTTTGCTCGGCTCAGTTGAGCCACAATCAAAGCCTGGGTAGTTGAAGGTGAGTCCTAGCCACGATTCGTGGCTCTGTGCAAAGAGCACGGTCCCGAGCCAGAAAACGCCCAGCGCCCGTGTTTTAAAATTTGCGAAGTCGAGTGAATCTTCCAACTGGCTAAGCCTTAGTACCGGGTTTTGCGTATGTCTTTGTTGACTTAAGAAGAATTCTATACTTGTGCTGATTCAGAGCCGTAGGGAGCCACTGCAGCTTTCTGAAACATTGGGGCCACTAAGGACCATCAATTTTGTCACCTTCTCTTGGCTCCCCTCGTGGCTCCCTTGGAGTGGTTTAGTGGCTATACAAGGGCCTTCGTAAAGTTCCCGGCCTACACTATGAGTTGTTTCTTTTTCACACTGTGCAAGGACAAATCCATTTCGCACCACCTAGGAAACCCTGGAAGGATTTGCTTCCCCTGCAATGCCAACAAACGTTATGGTTTCAACCGTGGTGTCATTTCGTGGCGCGATTTCTGGATTGAGTGGGGAGTGGAGAGCTGAGGCTACGCCAGGAGGGAGTTGAACGAGGAGGCGGAGCGGCCGGAAGACTCAGACGGTTCAAATCATGGTGGACCTTGTCCAACAGAGCAACAGGACTTTGGCTCAAAGGATTCAACTTCTAGCTGATTCAATCCCTGCACCCTTGAGTTTGCTAAAATAGAGCCCGCTTGATTGTTGAATGACTTGCCACAGGGCAGGGGCCCTTGCAAGATGCAGCAGCCCAACGCATCAGAGGTGCATTTTGCCAAGGGATGTTAGGACTTTAACTTGTTGCCAACGAGCTTGGGTTTTCCGTATTAAACCGCTAAAAGTTAAAAACTTTCAGCAGGGCTTGACAGAGAGCAACCGAGAGGAGTTTCCAACAGACCAACAGGGGGAACTTTTTCTCCAGGGACCGGATGCTCAGGTTCCAGAGGTTTCTTCCAGAAGCCTGGAAAAGGCAAGAGTGTGGTTCATGCCTCCAAATCGAGGGTGAATATGGTGAATATGGCCATGTTCATGGCTCCCTATGAACCCTTACATTGTTTGTATGCCCCCAATGTGAGGATCTATGACCATCCCTAAGCCCAAGCAAGGTGTTTTGACCGCGGCACGTAGCTGGAAGGCGGGGAGCACTTGTCGCATAGACTGGGAACTCACTAAGACGTGTTGAAAGCCATCGCACACAGCGGGCTTTGCTTTGGACTTGAAGACAGTTCAAGAGACGCTTTCTTAGCCTATATATATATATATAGTCGTACAACTTGCAGAGGGCCCCTTTTTGTAGCCCCTTTTTCGTTCCCAGCTTTTCAAAATGCTGGCGTCTTCGTGAACCTCATATCCCAGAGGTGCAGACGCTCCGTTGGTTTGGCCCCTTGGCCCATCCTCCGCTTAAAAAAGAATAAGAAAAGAGTCAAAGGCACCAGTTGGGATGGAAACGCACCCCTAATCAATGATGTGACAAGCCACCCACCACCTGGATGTGTGTTTTTTTCTCCCCGCTGGTTTCAAGCATGTGCAATGAGCTTCCTGGTTCCGGCTTGTGCGTTCAATGGCCCCCCCTGTTTGGTTCGTGTTTCAAGTGGGTGCCTTTTTTTTTCTCTTTAAAGCAAGAGCAAGCCCAAAAGACGAGATGCCACCAGTTTGGGGCCGAAACATTTGGACACAACGAGTCACACCGCTGAGGATGCGGCCCTACATTGAGCCTTTGTTGGAACAGCAGATGTCCCTCAAGGAGATCACCTTTGCCGGGACGCCCAGTGCAACCGCGAAACCCGGGCAACGGATTGGTGAAAGCGGGGCGTGGTTCCTTTGGAGAGAGGTCACAGTCCCTTCTGACATCGCAAGGACAACTATATAACTTGGTGGTTCTCAGCCACCCCCAAAGGTTTTTATGGTTTAGTGGCGATTTCCATTTAGCCTGCTAAAAGTAAAACTTTTAGCAGTGGATCTGAGGACAGCCCAGGCAACAGAATCCTTTTTGAAGTCCCCGAATGCGAAAACTCCAAAACCCGGAGAGATTGAATCGGATACCCCCGAAAGGTCTGATGAGAAGCCTTTGATCAGAAACCAAGAGGGATGAGAACTATATTCCAATCCCAAAGCTATGGAATCTATGAAGAAAGAAAGTGGTTTTGGTTTACTCCCATCGGCCCCTTTCGGCGCAGGTTGACCCCAACAATTGGTTAGGCCAGTTGGCTCGTTGCTCGTTGGCTTTGGCCAGCCTCTTTTGTCTTCTAGGGTGTGTATCCCTTTGACTCCCTTTGTTCGAGGGTATCCTCGAACAAATATATTATGTTTCAGGATAGTAATTAGACTAAATATATGAAACAAAAGCGTGTTTGTTGGCACCGGATTTGGACCAAGTGTCGGCTGATCATGAAGCTGTGGCCAAACAGAGTCGCACTCCTTGCACCTTTTGGACAAGTATACTTGCCCATGACTCAAAGTGTGTTTCCTCAGTCCCGCTAGCACTGCTGACCTTCGTCAATATGCAATTGGGGTGGACGGAGAAGTCATTTGACCTCATATCAGCAGGGCAGGCATATATTTTGTTCGCACCAGCACCCGGGTCCCAACTGCTTTTTCCGATGTCCAACAACCCAAGTACTCTCCCAAAAGGGGGGAGGGAGTGCTGGCAAAGATCTTTCTGGCACGACAATGTTTCTCTCGAAATGGCAGCCTTGGCAAACCAATCCACAGGTTTAGGCCTGGTACCCTCACCTACAACCACCTGCTTGGATGCAATGTGTGCTTTCTTTTGGGCTACCCTTCCCGCTTGGTTTAAAAGGACGCCAGAAGGAGAAGCACCTTTTTTTTGGGGAGGGGGGTAGCCCTACTTTACACATCCCCAAATTGGCTCAAAGAAGGGACGTTGGACTCCCATCAAGCGCACTTGCCGCCAAGTCGGATGAACCCCCGGTAGTTTCCCCCCGAGAAGTGCACGACAGTTTCCAGATGCCTGGGCCATATGGCCATGGGTCAAACTCAAAATTTCCGCACCCCCAGTGAACATCCGATTCAATCCCACCACTAAAATAGGTTCTAAGATGGGTGGTGCACCTACATCCCAATCCCCAATAAAACAACCTAAAATGGGTGGTGAATTCACCTATATATCCCAAAATGGTACCGTTGGTTTTGACCCACAGCCAAATGAGCATGGTTGAACTACATTGATTCAACCGAGCGAGCAGCTTGTCGTTCCAAGCTGTGGAGGGCGTTTTTCCACCGACACGGTGGAAAACGTTCGGGTGGCTCGTCTTTTAGTGGACCCCCAAACTGGTGGTGTTCCTATTTTCCCGTCAAACCCACTTGAATCAGGGTACCAACTCCAGAAATAGACACACCACACCCGCATGTCCATGTTTTCCTCTCCACGAAAAAAAAAGGGTACCAACTCCAAAACACGAGCCACCCCCCTGTTTTTTCCCCGGGTTTTCCGAGCCTCCGGCACGGTGACCCTCGAGCCGCCGGGCCGCACCTCCCGAGGTGTTGAACCGCCGAGGGAAGGAGCTGCGGCACCTGCTCTACAAGCGCGGGGCCTCGGCCTTCAGCGTGCGCCGAGGAGTCCACGTGGAAGGCTCCCGTGAATGGCACGAAAACGACCCCCCCCCCCCCTCAAAAAGAAAACCACCACGCAGCTAGCTCAAAGTCAAAGGATCCCGGGCGATGTTCAACTGGAATGAAGCTCCGCAGTGGGGGTAGCACCACGACCCACAGGCAATCCTTTTTGAGACCACGGTTTGTCTCGGGGTATTTATTTTAGGATGTTTTTTCGTTTTGTTTTGGGTTTTTATTTTGGCTTTTGGCTTCTTGGCTTTTTGCTTGGCTTCTTGGTTTCTTGGCTTCTGGGCTTCTTGGCTTCTCGGCTTCTTGGCTTCTCGGCTTCTGGGCTTTGGGCTTTTCGGCTTTTTGCTGTTTATGGTTTTTCGCATCCTCTCCATTCCCAGTTCCTCTTCGGCAGGTGGCGTTTTGGCTTTTGCGGCTTTTCGCTGGTTTATGCGCTTTTGGCGGCTTTTGGCGGCTTTGGCTTTTCGCATCCTTCGGGCTTTTTGGCTTTTGCGCCCTTTCATTGGTTTTTGGATTTGGCTTCCCGCATCATCAGCATCACCACCACCTTATTCGAATCATCACTTCTTCAAACATCATGGGGGGGGGAACCCCCCCCGCCGCCCACCCGCTACTGTTTAGATTGTTTGCAGAGTAATTGCACCCCTATTTGAATCAACTCTTCAAACATCATGGGGGGGGTTGCCGCCTCCCCCCCCGTTACTTTTTAGATTTCTTGCAGAGATTGAATTGCACCCCTGTTTGAACCATCACTTTTTCGAGCGTCCAATTTCGCGAGAAAATGCTGCAAAATACGACATTTTAGGTAATCTGTGTAATCCATGTATGTTTGTATGTATGCATTTCTTCAAACATCATAGGGGAAGCCACCCCCGCCAACCCTCCCGCTGCCTTTTAAATTCTTTCGCACCCTTTCTTGAATCATTGCACCCCTACTTGAATCATCCCCCAACCCCCCCGCTACGTTTTAGATTTTCTAGAGATTTATTGCACCCCTAGTTGAATCATCAATTCTTCGAACATCAGGGGGGGGCTGCCGCCCCCCCCAACCCCCCCGCGTTTTTTAAAAGTGTTTTTTACTGGGATTGAAATGCCCTCCTGCTTGAATCATTATTTTCTTGACCCCGTTTTGTTACCCACGATTTGTTGGCGATGCTAGGGATGTTGGTCGGACATGCGGGGGATGTTGAAAACGATGCTGGGGATGTTGACGGGCTAGTGTAAAATGCGTCAATTTCGCGAGAAAATGCTGTAAAATACGACATTTTACTGGCATCCATTTCCAACTGGGAATGAAAGGGAGCATTGGGCTTCTCGGTTGAATACCAAAGAGATGGGTCAGGGGAATGGGAGAACAACCTTTCGGACTTTGCCTCGTCAAGGCCTCGTGTTGGCCTTCCAGTCTTCACCGAGCACAAGGCAGTGGACCGACATGGGGGGGGGGCTGGGTGTCTCTTACGTCTTTGGAGCTTGGCTGGTTGTTCCTCAGGGTTTTGGAACTTCGTTGGGTTTGATTTGTTGGATGTTTTGATTGATTGGGTTGGGGGCTTCTTCTGGGATTGCCAACAACAGCAAAATGCAGGCAAATGGACTTCAGCGATGATTGTGTCGATCAGCACGGTGTGAGATTGGCTGCACACCAAGACCACTTCGTGGGAGCGGGCTTTAGCCCAAGCAAAGCCATTTGACGGTCAAATTCTGGATCAACGGGACTTGGGACCTCTCCCTTCCGTGTGGGAAGTGCACGTGTAGCAGCTTGCCTCTTTTGGCAAAGTTGTATGGTTCATGGGTTGTAGTTTTCTGAAATCAGGGCCCTGGAGTCGGGAAACCGTCGATGCCTCTGTGGCAAACGAGCTCCTTTGCAACTCCCGTGCTTTGTGTCGCATTTGTAAACTGCACGTGACAAAACACCCATGGGCTTGAAGCTTATGGATTGGTAGGGTGTCCATTCAACTTCAGCCAACTCCAAATTGCTGCAGAGTCAATTTGACATTTTTGCGAAGCAAGGAGCATCCGAACCATCAAAAGGGTGACTGCGACAAACTCCTTGGCGGAGATGCGAGCTTCGCAAGGGCGACCAAGCAGGCCCCCTCTACTTGGCAAATTGTGTGTCCAAGCTTGAGTCGCCATGTCGGCCCTTTGAAACGCACCATGTGCATTTCAAATGTTACGATGCCTTACATGTTCGGGGTGGGACTTGTTCTCCAAGTTTTGGTTCGGGGGGAGACCCGTGTTCTGCTTAGAGCCAATGTTTGGGTTGCTCAAAAGGATATTACGAAAGAATGTGTTGCGTTAAAAGCAAGGGCTGAATGTATGAGTCTGAACCCATGGATGCACTTACACACCCCTTAAGTGTCTGGTTAGTTTGTTGGCCAATCAAACCACTAACTATGGTTTACTCCTGAGACATCAAACACCAAACGCGCCTCAAATGGCCACGGGTTCATACATGGGTCCATACAATCAGCCTTTCGTCGGTGGGCTTCTCTTTAGCGAGGGCAAGCCTCGTTTTGGTAGACACTCTTGTGGGGAGGAGGATCCTCATCAGGAAAGGCCCCAAGGGTCGGGTTCCCCCAACTAGGTCTCCCAGTAGTGCGCTTTTACCCTTTTTTGGGGGAGGGTTCCCCTACTAAAATAGACTACAGAAAAAGGGTACCCTTATTCGCGCCGAGGCATTGAATCACAATGACCTTGGTCATGCTGCATTTTGCAAGTAGCGGACTCCTCCCATGTCGTGGCTCAAAAAAGAAGTACCCCAACATGGCCCCTTGACCCTTAAAACATCAAAACAAAGACCACCAAACCTGCGTGTTGCCCTAGCTCTGTAATTTTTGAGCCGCACCCGTGTAGATAAGGATGGGATGCCTGACATGGGTGACGTCTGACCCCATATCCCTGGCATCGCGCGAGGTGCGCCGCTTGATGCGCCGCGCCAAGAACGACGCAGGCGGGGCCTCGAGCGTGATGTTGGAGCACCGGGCTTCACGATTTGGAGATAGGGAATCTTCCTGACCAGCGCCCAACCACTGCTTCTGGGACACCTGGATCTTGGACAACCAGCAAAAGAGTTTCCTTGGAAAGGGAATCTGACCATCCAAACGATTTGGAGGGAAAATGACCCAACCACGGCGTTTGGGACATTTTTGCTTGGATCTTGGACATGGAAAGCAGCAGTTGTTAGGACCCGGGTGCGGAAGGAGCTGGTTTCATGGGCAGGCCGGAATCATCTGTGCCGTTGCTGGAGCTGCCAACCTATTTGTTTTCCTGTTTTTTAATGGGATTCTTTGGGTGTGGGTCAAACGAGTGGTCCTATGAGTCAAATGCAATGACCATGGGTCAACCCGCAGCCCGCTCCTGGCAGAGAAAAGTTGAATCAAAGCCCAGCTTTTGGCCCAAGTTCAGAATTGCGTTCCTCGAATGTGGGTGTCGCTTTTGGAGGAGCTTCTTTTGGGTGATGTTAAAGGGTTGCCCTACCTGACTGGTATCCCCCACGCGCATGGAAGCGAAAGACTCGGGTCTGGAGCTGACTTCAACATCCATGGGCGCGAAGTTTGTTCGTTTTTCTCGACTGGGCCCACTAAAGTGAACATCTTGAGGGGGTTCTCAAGGTTAATTGTGTGGTTCCTTTAGATAGGACTGGTAAGATTCAGGATGTCACTTCAAGCTGTCTAGTAAACAAAGTTCATGGTTTGGCTTCCAGGTTTCGGCTTCCCGAAACGAAACCGGTCCGTTCAGGATCTACCAAGTGAGACCAATTTCAACTTTTCAGGGATTGCAATCTAATGATCGCTTGTCCCTTCTCCAAGTCAAATCGTCCCTTGTTGTAGACAGGATCATGCGAAGAGTCTTGGATGGATCTACAACGGCCCAATGGGAAACATGCATTCTCAGGAGATTTGGAGACATCACGTTGAATGATTCATCCTTTGGGGGGGTGAGCTGTGCGAGGCGTGCGCATCAACTGCTTCGTGCGGCCGCAGCATCTGCCACCCAACGCCCCCGGGGCGGCATACCCGAAGTACATCCAGGAGCGGGGGTGAGTGCTTCATGAGTCAAGCTCGGGATTGTTGGAATGAGAGGCTTTCCCACTGCGGGAAATCATTGGGACGGCCTCAATCAGTGGTATCACAGATGGACATTCCTACCTGAGGCTGCTTAATTTGCGGGTTATGTCCATTATATATATATATATATATACACATATCTGTATACATATATATATATATAATATATACATATATATATATACATATATATATATATATATATGTATATGTACATATTATACGCATACCGATACGTGACCCTGTTCGAAGGGTGACAAGGACACCTATTGCAAAAAGGCGTTGTTTGGTGGTCCGAAAAAGGGTAGGACACTAGTGTCCACCCTTCGAGCATTGTTTTCAGTAGTTGGATTGGTCATGATTTGGAGCATGACCTGCAGGCCAGCATAGCCAGTGGTTCCCCTACATTCCCCTCACAAAGTTCGAAACATCACTTGTTGGAGCAGGTTTGACTCGGATTATTATGTTTCTTCAAAAAGGGCGGGAGTTGTAACCCAACTGTTCAAAGGGCGCAACCTCCGCGTTTCAGGCCCTTTTGGAGTGCGGTTCGATCCTTTACGGCTTGATTGCTACTGGGTTGGATCTTTAGACTTCAACTTTTTGGGAAATCAATGGGTTTTCCAACAAACCCACACAAAGTTAAACTTTTTGCAGAGGGCTCAACAGCAACCAAGACGGGGGCTGCAACAAATCCAGCCTGATTTCGGGGAGGGGAGGGAACAGTGAGGAGCTTCCGGGGGCAACATGGAGATTCCTGTTGCGCAAAATCTGCAAACGGCCGCGTGTTGGAACTATGTCCCTGTTTGCTTTGTGCGCACTTGGCTTGCTATATCGCATGTGTGCAAGCGCGGTTCTTGTGGAGTTGTCTGATTGTATTTGTACATGTTATATACACAGAAAAGGGAGAGAGACGTACATATGTGTGTGTATATTTATATGCGTGTGTGTTGACAAAACATGAAATGCGTTGATTGTTCAGTTGGCTTCAGGTGACCCTGATGTAGAGTCAGGTGACAAGCAGTTGGCCGCCGAAGGAATCTTACTTTGCTTTGGCCAGATCAGTTGCGACGAAGGTTTTGGTGTGCGACCGCACCCATGAAGGTCGCTCTAATAGTTTGCCCAGTGGATGCCGTACATGGGTTGCTTTCATGGTTGTTGTTGGGAAACATTTTGCATTTTTGCTTATTGTGGTTTAGTGGGAAATCCCCACTTCTCTGCTAAAATTTAGATTTTTGCTCCGCTTTCAACGTCAACCAAGCTTTGGTTTCCCTGCAAACCACCCCGAAACAAGCTGACCAAATCAACCACACGTCCATTAGGCTGTCCATGGGCTCCGGGCAGTCTGTGAGACGAACTCGACAGCCAGGCTGGCACAGAGTGCCTGGACGAATTTGGTGTCTTTCGAGGGTGTGCTCTCGCTGTGCCGTGCGAATTCCGAGAACGGTTGATTGGCGAACCCTCTGCAGACTTTGGGTGCGTTAGATCGCTCTCGCTTGGCATCGAAGCCAGCCCTCTGCAAAATATTGCGGACTATCGCGGACTTGAGGTGAGTTGAATCGCTGTGGCAAGGTTCGCATTTGGATCGTCAAAAGTGAACGCGTTGCGGACTTTGGGTGGGTTCGGTGCGTGTTTGGAAGATCGAAAGTGAACCCGCTACGGAATTTGGGTGGATTGGATCCTACCAAGAGATCTTGCCCATACATCTTGCGCAGAGATCCTGCGAAGATCCTCCACGGATATCTTGCGCCTTTCAACAGATCTTGGGCAGGGCCTGCCATGACATCTTTTGGAGATGCTCTGTAGACAGAGCTTGTAGAGGGTTTTCTCGCAGACCCTGCGCACAGATCTTGCAAAGAGATCCTATCCACAGATCCTGCAAAAATCCTACCACAGAGACCTTGCCCACGAATTTCTGTAGAAACAGTAGTAGAATTGTTGTCAGACAAATCTTGCTTCTACAGCAACTTCAGAAGGCTTCTGTTTGAGGGGCACGTGCAAGATCTCCTATAGAGATCCTGTGTGCATCTGCAGGGACTACTTTCATGTTGCCTGCGTGGGTGCCTGTTGACGTTGTTGACGACTGTTTGGGGAAGGTCTCAGGAATGCAAGTGGAGGTGTTTCAACAATTGGGGGTTGATCTCGCTTCATGCGCACTCCAGATCAATCATCCCTCCCGTGTCAGGTTTCAGACGAGTGGTGGGAAGGGTTTTACAGGAGGGGAAGGAGGTGGAAACCCGTTTGTTGAATAACTCCTTGGTGGATATGTTCGGGCTTTAGCATGCTCGATTGTGGTTCATTTCAACATGACGCCCCTGCGAACTCGCATGCCAAGCCCCGAGGGCCACTTAGTAGTCTCCAAGGGACTCGATGGTTTTTCCCTCGCGGGTGCTTGGGGGGAGTGGAATCCATCTTGGATCAGATTGAAACCAAAAGGAAAACTGTACAAACGGAAAACAAAAACACTGTGGAGCATCAATCGGAACATCAAGGGAATCTAGATCAAAACAAGGGGACCCAACAAAATGGCAAGCGTGGCTTCCGTTTAAAGCCAAACAGGATTGCCCCAGAGGTCAACATGCAGAACCTCCAGGGTCCTGCCCTTTTCCGCCAGGATGTTTTCGCTGAGGTGCCGCCTGGCGCCCAGGGGTTGGTCCTGTGCATGGGATGACCATTGGTTGAACTGAAATTCCTTAGGGAAGCCAAGGAGGGCCCGGATTCCCGACCTAGATTTCTACTAAGTTGGGGGGCAAACCTTGAACAGGAGCGTCTTTAAACAGGTTCCGTCATTTTCAAAAACCTGAAAGCTGAAGTCTAAGATCCTCTTTGGCACGTAAGACTGGAGCCTTAAGCAATGAGATGCCGTTCCGCGTTGAAGGCAACCGACTTTTCCCGTGTGTTGGGTGGAGCAGAAGCTTGCGGCGCCCATCAATGTTGGCAATTGTTGCGGGGCAGCAGACAACTTGCTGGCGCGATAGGCAGGGAATGAGAAATGGAATGACCCCTATCAACCATCAATTGGTGGTTTTCTTCAGGGAATCCCTGCATTCCTTCCCACATTCCCTACCTAAACCACCAGCAAGACACCGCAATGTTAGTTTTTGCCTTGTCTCAAGGGTTTTTGCGATAACGGAATTGGAGTGCGCAAGATGCCTCTTTTGATGGGTTTTGATCTATGAGCGGTGCAAAGAAGATTGGACAGATAAAAGAGAGTTCCCACCTGAACGCGATCTGCTTGTTCTTCCCCCTGGTAATACCCGCATTCAAACCGGTCTTCCAGGAGTATTGGGCAGGCAAACAGGTCAGGTTTCCATGATAAAGTTTCTCGTCACGATGCAATCTTCAACGTTTCTACTACCTCGCCTGAGTGCCCTATGTTTTCATGATGTTTACCCCGTTTTTGGATGGATTTAGTCAGGTTCCACGTGAAGTGGTGGGAGGGTAACATACTTTTTGTTTCCTTTGGGTTTCTCCTTTTTTCGGAGCGCCATCTTGTTAGTCACAATCAAGGTCCATAGCCTGGCTCAAGCGGCAACTCAGATGCTTGGACCTCACCCGTCTCCTAAAGCCCAAAGTGACGCAACCTGGCGGATGTCTACCCCACGAAGTCCCTGGCACCTCATTGCACAAACTGATCCGTTTTGACTCCCAGCTAAAGTCCATGAGGAGTTCAAGGGACAGTCCCTTCTTGATTCTTGACATGGTTTTGCGTGGGTTTCACAAATGAGCCTTCCATGGCTTACTACCTTAGGAAGATGTGCATAGCCGAGAACAGGCAGAGTAACATGGAAGCCCAACAGCCATCATGTGTAAGAGGAATTGCTTCTTGTCTTGTGGAATCCTTCAACGTTAGTTTCCAAGGACTGTGTACACCTGAGGGTACTTGGGTTGTGCAATCCTTGATTGATCCCTAGGCAAGATGGTATGTTGGTTAGCCCCTTGGTGTGCCCACTCCCACGTATTAATGTCATTGGAATGAGGCTGTCGGATACTTTGAGACCAAATTCAGCCCTGCTCATAGATGCAAATGTTGTTGTTTAGCCCCTCATAAAGCTCAGGTACCCCTGAATTGGTGGTTTGGGAATTTGAACCCCCGGCTCTTCTAGCCAAGCCACCAAAACAAACCACCATTGGAGGGAAGCTGATCAGCTTGGGCCTGGCAGAGTCTGGCGAGTCGGTCTGGGCCCATGGAGTCGCGCTGTGATGACTTCAAGCCCTGCTTGTCGCAGCAGGAGGCCGAGGGAGTCGTGTGAAGTGGTGGAGGGTTGGGCTTTTCTGCTTAACATGTGCGGTGGAGTGCCCGCTGATTCTTTGAGGGTTGTGCCTTTTGTTCAAAGAAGCTTTCGGTCTCCATACACAGGTACATAAGGCATTCATTCCCGAAACAGGGTACACGTCCTTGACGGCTAGGATTGATTTCGATTCTCGAAGTACATCCCTAGAAGGCGCTCGGACCCTTGGGGTCATGTCGGGCAGCTAGCCATAGAAGTGGGTTCCCCATTTGGCTTCTTGGGGCCGGGTTTCTGATCTGGGCCCTCCAAGAACACACTTACTTCATCCGATCTGCGCGGCGCCGGAGAAACATCTCTTGTCTGTCAGCATGAAACGAAATGTTTCTGTTGAAAGGACTGCCTCCCAAAAAGACCTGCGCTTCCACCAAGCAGGAGCCCAAGACGTTTCGTTAAGGCGAGTTATGTTGGTATTTTTCTTTTGAAGAAAGCTCCTTCAGAAACCTGATCTTGGACGTGGCAAGGCGCTCGCAACATTCATGCGGACGGTTCTTGGGCATTTTCCGGTGTCCGGTGCCTGGATTTCGAGGTAGGGTGGTTCCATGTCACCTTCAACACCTCCAAGTCCCAGATCTGGAACTGCCTTTACATGGGAGGGTACTGATTAGCACGCCCGGACATGACGATGCATATCGCGTTGCTTCTTTTTTCGAGTTCTTGCTACACGCGGGCAAGCCCACCAGAGCTCGACCGGCCAGGGCACCTTGGCAGACCTTTGCAGAGGGCTTGCCGCTTGATCCGGGAGTGTTTCCCTGGCTGGGTTCGAGAGGTAAGCTTTGAGCAGGAATCCTTAGGACACAACTTGGCCATGTGAAGCATCGCTTTTTCCACCACAGGGAAACCATGGAATCATGTTGGAGGTAATTGCCATGTTGTGCATCTCCGATTGGAGAAGTTGATTTTGGCCAGCAGACCGCCATCAAGCCGGGAAGACTTGCCCCGAGCTTGTGAAACATGGCTCAAACTGGTGGAGCCATGTTTGTTTCTGCCAATCTGAATTTTTGGTCTACTGTTGGTTTGGGAAGATCCTTGAAAAAAGCAACCCCCCCCCCCCAATGGTCCCATGGTCCGTTTGGAGCTGGGGCTGTGGAAAATCAGGGCCGGAGCCCCGCCCCCGACGAACTCGGAGAGCTCCAGGTGGAGCGCTTCCGGGAGGAGGGCTACCTGGTGCTCGAGGCGCGCCTGGAGCCTCGCCGCCGAAACCGGCGGACGCGGTGGGAAACGCGGCGGAGACCGAAAATGGGGGGGGTGGAAGCGCGGGGTTCCCGGCCGCAAGGTCTGTCAAATGGTTTCTTCAGTGAGCTTTGGGGGCGGTTTTTTTGGGCCCCTTTGCAAGCTAGAATTGGGGGGCGGGGGTTAATTTGGGAGGGGGGGGATGTGATGATTTTTTGTTTTTAGAAGTATATAGTAGTGCCATTCCAAGCGGTTTGCAGATGCACACGGGCGACTGAGAAGGCGATGGGCCGTGATTGCTTTGGATCATTCAAGTAGTGCGGATTGGCACGGTCCTCCACGTGTTTCCACGTTGATGGTTTCAAGCATCTCATGAGGATCTTCAATTTCAGTCTCGCGGGCGTGTTTGATTCTCAGGGTCGCAACAGTCCCAACCTGGACACATTTGTTCCGATTCGCCGATTCCAAAAGTCAGCAAACGGGAACTAGGCAAAGGGAGGAGAGAGACATAGCTCAATGCTGACTCAGTTCGATTCGAAGACTTCCCTCCAGAAAAAAAAAAAAAAAAAAAAAAAAAAAACAGAACCCTTAGCCTTATATATATATATATATACAAAATTGAAAGATTCTCAGTATAAGTCAGGAAGCACAACAGAAACACACCGCGGGATTTCTACAACTGATGTCTTCTTTTAGGGACTTCGCCTTTTGGTGTTGGTTTAAGGGACACCACAGGAGAGGACACCATTTCTGGGGACGCCGCAGGAGGGGACACCATGTTGGGGATCCCCCGATTTTCAATGCGGCGATTTCGATTTTGTGGGTGGATGGGGATGCCCCCCCGAAACCAACGCGAAACCCGACCCCGCGGGTAGTGGCAGGCTGAAGTCTCGGAGAAGTTCCTTCAGGCGAAGCTGAGGGTTTCAGGTGGCTTTTGCTTGCTTCTTGGATTTTTTATCCGTTCCCTATTAATAAAGGTCTCCCTAATAATAGATAATTGGGGGGGGAGGGGAGGGGGGCGCGTTTTATTTTCATGGGGAGAGGAATACTTTTCCACCCCTTTTCACACGGAACTTGACAGGCAATCCCTCTTGGGATCCTCCTGCGAAACTGTAGATCAGGCTCGGCAGGCCGAGATATAGTGCATAGGGATGACGACTGTGCAGTTTTCTGTGGCCGTTTGAACCTGTTAAGTTTGTGGTGACCGATGTATACGGATGCAGTCGTCTTGGCCACTGCCCATGCATTTGGCTGCCCACCGTCGATACACGTTGAACTGTGCGCCGCTCGATTTGCCGGGTTGAGGCGTATCTAGGACATGAAGACTGAGGTTGTGTTCCTTTGATTGCCTTACAAACCGACCCTTTGAAGATCACGTTAACCACCACGCCACAAAGGGGCCCTCAAAAGACCTAATGTGTGTTTTACCAGACGACAATGCAGACCCGTGAATCATAGAGGGTGCTCCCCCAAAAGTGAATGGCTCCCTCTGAAATGGGACGCTCCCTTTTGGGCAACCTCAATCTCGGGTTCCCATTACCCAGATGGCCCAAATTGGTCTGGTTTTAAAGGGACCCCCCAACAAGAAGTGGTTTTCCTTTGAGTTTCCCCTCAAAACACACCAACAAGGGGTACCCTCAAAAAAGACACCCAACTGGCTGAGTTCCTTTTGCTCGAGTCGGTATCTTTTTTTTTGGGTGGGAACCATTTAGGTGATCATGGTGGACAGATGGGCCAGAAAAGGGTTTTGTGTACAATGCGAAAATATGCAAGCTCAAGTCATACACCAGCAATAGCTCTGCTAGATCATAAAACTGATGTCCGGCTGCCAGGGTGGGTCCAGCTCAGACAGATTGCACACATGTTCGATGTCTGGAAGCTGGACCTGGCCCTCAATAAGCTTCCACTGGGAACGGTATGGAAACTGGAAACTGGAAACTGGTTTTCATTGTTGTTGTTGGGTTAGTGGTTTAGTGGTTGAAATCCAAATCCACTGATCTGCTAAAATCTGAGAATTGTTGCTCCCCTTCCAACGTCAACCAAGTTTTGGTGTCCACTTGGGATCGGTATGGACCCCGACTTGTCCGCCAAAAGCCCCGCGCACCAAGCGGCGTCAGCCGCTCTGTTTGAGGCCAGCGCTGAAGGCGGGGGACTCATCGTGTCGCGGTGCGG